TGTTTTACTCGTTCTCTGTGTTTTTATATGTTTGAATATTTTTCATATTTATCACCGACCACTGTGATTTTTCTTGGATTTATCTATCTATCTATCTATCTATCTATCTATCTATCTATCTATCTATCTATCTATCTATCTATCTATCTATATATATATATATATATATATATATATATATATATATATATATATATATATATATATATATGTTTTTTGAATGACGTAAAAAGTCGTGTGCAAATGAGGTAGAATGTATTGATATGACATGATATCTCGTTCGAACGACATACTGTGGATATATCTCCCTAATGAAAAAAGTAACGAACAGTGATGATTTTAAAATATCCACAAACAATACAATTCTGTTAAAATTCTGTTGAAATGGCATAAAAAAGGACCCCCGAAAATTGCAGAGGTGAGATCAGGTGCCTAGAAAGAGTAAGCGTCATCTGTTGACCTGTCACACCCGCCGTGAGCTCTATGAATAAATCAGGTAAACGGGACATTCCGTTGTCGAATTTAGTATAAAAACAAAGGCCAAACAATTGACCCAATTATAGGTTATATTTGTTGACAGGGTCATTGACGACCATTGAATTTACGAAATGCTAACTTTAAACGAGGTTGTTGAAACACCTGTAACATCAACTTACATGTATCTGTAAGTAGCCTGCCTTGATTTAAAAATTAATCGTGCTCTTGGGTATCGAATAAGTTGGTAAACGTACATGTAAATATCCTATGCAAATGATAGCGGAATATTACAACATAAATAAGGAAAGTTGACGATGGAAAAAGCTGAAGTTATCCCGTTTGTCAAACAATTTAGGTTTTATCGTCCATAATTAGTAGAACGTCCAAATATGAAGCAGACTTGGAAAACATAAGAATGACATATAAAATATCTGTATGTCTGAACTATACACAATCGTATAATGTGCATTTTTATTTACAAACAGTGATCTATGTAAATTTATTTTTAAATATATAGAAGTAATAAAGAAGAATCCCAATATAATGTACATTCAAGTCTGGTCGTCTGAGAATAGGATACATACATGTAAGAGGAATAATTTAAAAAAAAATCCACTTCAAAACAGTGATACATTTGTCAAAACAAAATATAGAAACATTTCAATACAATGTATTTTGAAGTAGATAAATGTTTCCAATTTATCATTAAAGACAGATCATTTTTTTGACATTCCAGGTGAACATAAGGATTAATTTTTCCTACATTGAACTAAAAATAGATTGAAAACAATTCTGAAAAATTATTTCACCTGCATCCGAATTCCACTCAAGTGAACATAATATTCAGGTACAAAGAATCGGGGAAGTGTGAGGGATTGTCCCCCACCCCCACTTTTTCTGAATGTAAATATTAGCAATTTCTACTTTGAAAATGTTCATTGAAAGTCTTGTAACCACCCCCTCTTTTTTATACAGTATATTTAAAAAAAAAACTCTCCTACTTGAGAGGACAAGGTGAACATAATATTCAGGCGCATAGAATCAGGGGTGGGGTATCCTCCCCCTTCCATTTTCATGAACTTTTTTTTTTGCTCTTGAAAATGTTCATTGCAAGTCTGGTTGCCCTACCCCAACTTTTTGAGACAGCAGGGTAAAAGGAAATCCCCCTTACATCAATAAACTTTTTAAGGGGTTCATCAAAGATATTTCTAAGCTAACTTGTCATTTTTGCCTCTTATAATGCTCCATTTTCCCTTTCAATGCTATGCCTGACATTTATTTTTTCTAATGTACATTGCACCAAAAATAGATTTCAAATGCAAAATTAATACAGGTAATGCTTATGTTAACTCCGATTCTCTCACTGTGTTTGGCTAGGACCTGAGCAAATAAACAAGAAACTTGACATGTTTGCTTAATCAGTTTGTATCAATTTAATCGTTGAATCATATAATAAAACAGTTATTGCTGTTTTTTTTTCTGTCAGTACAATGATTTTTCCACCATTGAAAAACAATGTTCACCTCGCCCTTTGGGCTCGATAAATTTTTACTCCTCTAGATTCTGAATCATCGCATTGACCTTAAAAACAGCTATAATTGTATAATGTAATGAAATCAACATATCATCGATTTATTCCCAATTTAGCTCCGGTGAGCAATTTGGCCAACAGGTCTCTTGATTTTTTTTACCCCTAAAAATTTCAATTTTTATCCACTGGGGGTCATTATTCTACGAGGGTCATTTTTCTTCACGTAGGGTATGCAGATTTTTAGGGTGATGACACTTTTTCTACGGGTAAAAGGGTAATTTTTCGACGTCGAATAATGACCGGGGTCATTTTTCGCCGTTGAATAATGACCGGGGGTCATTATTCGACGGCGAAAAATGACCCCAGGTCATTATTCTATGGGGGTCATAATTCATCTTTACACCGGCACGTTCAATTGTCTTTCTAAGTACTCTTTATGTTTTGTGGCAGAAATTTTTTGTGCATTAACTTCAATAATGTTTATTTATTATATTGCAATTGCTGAATACGACTGTCTTTCTATAAGTTACGTAAAATGCAATCTAAAACCACAAAAACACAAGAAGCAATTTCTGTATATCTTAAATCCATCAAAGTATGTCCTTTTTATATTTACACATCTGGAAAGTCTCCGTACACATGATTATAGAACTCCCGCATTTAATAGGTTGGTCAGAACATCAATATTTTCAGACTTTGATCCACAAGTGCAGGTGCGACAAAACTCCTTCTCCATTTTAGATTTCTTAATCCATCCGAACACTGTACGGCTGAAAAGGCTTGTCTTTTCAGGTATCAAAACCTTAAAAATAAAAATTGATTTTTTAGCGACTTTTGTAATGAAGCACAGTTTTTCCTTCGCCAATTCCATGGTAGAGACCATTTATTAAAAAAAAAAAATTAACTCAGCTCTGTGTAGTAACCACGGTTTCTTTACATATTGTTTTTGATCGATCACTGTCTGTTATCTTCATCCTTATTTTATTAAAAGTAAAGTTCTTAGCAAATATAACTGTAACCACAACCCTACCGTTTTGGTGATTATGAGTTTTTGTTAAATAGTACCCCTAGACTGTAAAAAAAATGCTTATGGAACTGTTATGATAAACCGTATGTTGCAATACTTATTGTCCAGTGTAAGTAGCTGAATCTGAAAAAAATGAGGGTCTTAATTAGATTGAAGGGCAAACATAAATGATTAAAACATAGGTTGGATATTTTTCATGTAAAGTAGAAAAGCTCACCTTTTGACTCTGAAAAATGGATGTTTTTTTTTCGTGCATTATAATTTCTATTAAATATTTTTAACCACGCTATCAAATTGAATGTGCAATATATCGAAGGTATATCTAATTTTTAGATCTATTTGTTATACGTATTTCTTAAGAAGGTAAAAGACGTGAAATGAATATTTTCGAATTTATTCTGAATATTCCTAATTGATTGACTTAGATTATTATCTTCCAATCCATAATTTGTCGTCTGTAATGAAACGTGAAGATAGCAAACGTTGATTGATCTAAAAAATCTCCAACCAAAACAAATCTACAAAAAATACAAATCAACAAACAATACTAATCTATAAACAATACAAATCTACAAACAATACAAATCTATGAACAATACAAACCTACAACAATACAAATCTACAAACAATACAAATCAATAAACAATACAAATCTACAAAAAAATACAAATCTATAAACAATACAAATCTATAAACAATACAAATCTACAAAAAATACAAATCAACAAACAATACAAATCTACAAACAATATAAACCTACAACAATAGAAAATCTACAAACAATACAAATCTACAAACAATAAAAATCTTTAAAAAAATACAAATCTATAAACAATACAAATCTACAAACAATACAAATCTACCAAAAATATAAATCTACAAACAAAACAAATCTTCAAACAATACAAATCTACAAACAATACAAATCTCTAAACAATATAAATCTACAATGATTCAAATCTACAGACGATACAAATCTCCAAACAATACAAATCTACAAACAATACAAATCTACAAACAATAAAAAACTACAAACAAAACAAATATACAAACAATAAAAAAACTACAAACAATACAAATCTACAAACAAAACAAATCTAGAAACAATAGTTAGTTTTGAAATTTATTTGAATTAATACACAAATGAATTCAAAAATTTTGCCGACTTAGAAAATGTTTTGAGCACATAATGCAGTTTTTTGTCCATGTTTTGTTTGATACCTCGATCAAAGGAAAAAAAAAATTACGATTCTTAAATCTTTTTAAGTAAAATTATAAAACAAAGCAGCAATTTAAGTTAAAAATTGAATGAAATATGCATGTTAATGAATAAAGGACACCTTTGCCGAATCTGCGATATGTTTTGAGGAGACAAGCAATCTAAGGTATATGTATTTCAAAGAGGAAAATTGCGCAGTAGAAAAAAAAAACTTAATTCGGTATGAATTTCTAAAATTGCAACCTAACTTAAATGAAATACTAAAATAATTAAACAAAGCACAATTATGAGAAAAATCATTATCTTTTTAATAACCATGACTTAATTACACTATATAACTCTATTCAAAACCAGCAATTACTTAGAAAAAGAAATCATATGTAATCTTATCATGCAATGATATTCTTTTTAAGTTTAATGAAATATGTGGAGATAACGAACAGTATTCGAGCTCAAAAGTCCATTAAACATTACAAAATAGGTGTAGAGCAAACACGGACCTCTAAGACATCAGAGGTGGGATCAGGTTTAATATTTAGCTCTACATCATATTTTGTTATTCATGTTGAAGAGAGGTCCAATCATTTTCGTCGACAAAATTGATATTAAAGCAAGTGGAAAATACAGAAAACGTAATTGGCTAGCCAATCACCTTTCTTGAAACATAAAGGCTCTGTTATTTAAACCAGATCAATTTTCAAAATCGTACAGGAAAGTAGTCGTTATTGTTAAACATACCTAGCAACATGACTAGTCTCCGTGTTATCTATTTTGTTGTTGTCATTTTCAGGCTGTCCCAAGCTACCTATGTTTCGAAGAACTATACTGCCAAACCGGAATTCGATAATAAGAAGTCAAATGACGAACTTTTAGGAGAATACAGTACTTACTTGTTGTGTGAGTGTTCTGCTATGTGTCAGAATGACTGTGACTTCTATGGGTACAATTCTAAGCTGAAGAAATGTCGTGTCCACAAGAAGATCTTCAATTCCGCTTCCGGAATATCTGACGAGGCCAGATGGAGATATTATTCTCGTTGTATGCATAACCTCTCTCTCTCTCTCTCTCTCTCTCCAAGAACACACTCATACAAAGTCCTGCACACAGTCACAGGCACGTTAAAGTGAACATCACTATTGATAGTACTTTTAGCATATATATTGAAGTGATTTATCAATATTTATTTCCAGAAAAACTTCAAAAATGTATGTATAAATGTATGTATAAGTAAATATTTTAATATCTTTTTTTTCTGTGTTCATAAAGAATGATATATTCTGTAAAATCATTTTTTGTGCTTTAATATTTCCTAAACAAGGCCGAGTCTAATATTTTCTACCCCATATATTTTGATAACTTTTCTTGAATGAATTTTTCTATTTTATTCATTGTTTTCAGATTAAATAATCGAATGTTTTCCATCTCCATTTCTTAGGGGGTCCTCTCAAAAATTCTCAAAATCTACTATAGGACCCTATGAGAATTTGTTGGAAAAACGCCAAATTATCATATTTTTCCTATATTTTTCTCTGCCCTAGCGAGTTCCTTTTCAGTCAAACATATAAATAATATTGTAAAAATAACCAAATATTGAATTTTTAAAAAAAGACCATCTGGGTTGGTTTACTACAAAGTTTTGGTTTTGTTGTTTCTTCAATGCTTAATGCCTCTAAATTTACCATATTGTTGTATATATATAATCGGCGCAGATTAATTATTTTGGTCAAACATAACAATGTTTCTTTTGATGTTCTGTCAACAGTATTTACGCAGCACAGTTAAGGCTGCAGTAAGGAGGCGGGGCCTAATTTATACGGGAAATGCTTATTATGAAATCACACATAAATATAAGTTCTTCAAATTACCACAAAATGAAATGATTTGCTATTTTAAACTGTTGAATAGCTTTAAACTGCATCAATACTAACTAGTGCATGCATTATTGTCGTTGGTTAAATCCCATACAGCAATATATAAACAATTCACTAATCGCAATGCACTTGTCAATGTGACGTCATATCGTAAAATTTGACGCAGTTTGTATGCAGTGAGAGGCGGATCAAGTTATATTTATACAATGAAAAATGTATTTTGTAATTAAACAGAATATAAATTGTAGATATATAAGAGGTCATTAACATGGATGTGATGTCTATTTTATGATTTTATTCATATACTTACCGTACATTCCCTAGACAAGTGACACTGTCGTATATTTGTATGCAGATTCATTGAAGGCTAATAGAAGGATCGTAATAAATCGATATATTGCAAGGGCATACCTTCAATGAATTATGATAAGCTTTTACACATAAACTCAAGAAGTATGAAGATATTTGAAAAGTGCTGCGAACCTGCTGAAATCATGCAAATGAATTAATTATATCTAAATCTAATGTACTTGACCAGCAAAATATTCAACATACAGTCTAACAAATGTAATTTTAGCAATTAGATAGTAGATTCTATGTAGGTTCGCAGCACTTTTTACAAACTACAAAGAGTGTTGAAAATAATTATATGTTCTTAAACTTAGATTTTTAACTTGGTTATGCTTTTGCAATATTAGAATTTATAGATGAGCTCAATACTTCAGGTATATTTGCTAAAATCACGTGAGTGCCAAATCACGTGACAAGTCTAAATAAGAAATCTAATCGTTCTCAACATGTAGTTTTCAACCACATTGCATTTGTCCGATAATAATAAAGTCCTAAAAAGAAACACCCATCCTTGTAAAGAATGTATTTTCTATCTAAAAAATTCGCCGATATTTCCATTTGGCACCCTAACTGTACTGCGTACTAAAATGTAAATGGACGTCTTGAATACACCAACGAATCATGTGTGATTCTTCATCGTCATGCATTGCTTACAAAACCGTGATGTCGTTGGAGTTTTTTTTTCCTTATTTTTGTCTTAAAAGCACATTTTCAGACCCATAGACGTTATAGATAATCAGGGTTAGGACAATATTTTGGAAAGGAGTAAAGTCGCACCTACAACTGCATGAAAAAAAAAGCTGCGAAAATTCATGAGCACTTGAAATAAACTCGACCTCATAAGTCTTTACTTTTTGTTTAAGGAAAACTTAAGGTTAAGATACAATGGCTATATTTACATAAGGTACTAAATGTCAAAAGGTAAAGGTACCGCAAATTTTAAGTGTATAGAAAATATAGCATTTAGAAAAATGCAAAATTGTTGTTTGTAAATAACTTGAAACAGAAAAGAAATTGAATATATATATTTTTAAACTCGTTAAAAAATAATTACTCATTAGGACGTAAAATCACATGATCCAGGCATCAATGCTGTGGTCATAAAATCAACAGAAAATTGAAGATTATCGAAGAAAGTCTGTAACATAGTTTTATTTTGATTTCACAATGCACATTTGCAATGCGATATGTGTATATAACGAACAGTATTCGAGCTAAAAAGTCCATTAAACATTACAAATTAGGAGTAGATTAAACACGGACCTCTAAGACATCAGAGGTGGGATCAGGTGCCATGGGGGAGCGAGCATCCCCTGCCGACCGGTCACACCAGCCATGTGCTCCTTGTCATGATCGGGAAATAACGGAAAAATCCGTCGACAAGTCAGTGCGTGAATAATGGCCTAACAATTAGTATGAAAAATATCACTCGGCATTTGACTTAATGAAAGATTGTATTTGCTGGCAAGGTCATTGTATCGACCATAGAACTTGCGAAATGATGACTTTAAACGAGACTGCTGATATTCTTGTTTTATCAACTTTTTTGTCAATAATTTACTTGTTTCAGAAGTTATTCATACGTAGAGCATGCTCTTGCGTATCGAATCAACTGAGAGATATAAACCCCGTGTGCAGGTGTTGAAGGTATATTGCTGCATAAGTAAGGGAAGTTGACGATTGAAAAGTTAAAGTCATCACGATTGTCATAAAGTTTTGTTGTTAGATTACCATTAACGTCCTTTTCTAATAAAATATCCAAATATGAAACAGATGTGTCAGACTCTGTGGCATCTTTTATCTCAAGCTCACTGGGATATATCGTGTCGACATAAGAATGGAAATAACCATTGTTAATTTACAATACGTCGTCGATATATCTAAATGTCGAGTTGAAGGCCACAGCAAGTGTTTTCTTCATTTCCAATAAAAGATTTTTGAACAAATTCTGCTTCATATGAATACAAAAATAGGTCTGCTAATAATGGGGGCGCAATTGGTACTCATCGGAAATCCAATAGCTTGTTGAAAGACTTGGTCTCCAAAACCGCGATATATATTGTCAATAAGAAACTCGAGCATCTATTTAATGTCAACTTCAGAGTACTTGTGTATAAAACCCAATTACAATGGATTACAATGGATTTCTTTCTTTAGAAAAAATTGGCACATCAATCAAAAGTCCGTAATATCAAAAAACAACTTTTCTAAACTTAATACAACCACTCCTAACGATAAATTAAAAACAAGGCTTTTTAATAACATAAACAACTGCTTCTTCACTAAAATGGAGGTCTGAAATTTTATATATTGTGATTAGTCGTCTACACAACTACATTTAATCAAAGTTTCAAAGTTTTTACTATAGTAAATCAAAGTTCCAAAGTTTTTTTTACTATAGTTAACCAAAGTTCCAAAGTTTTCACTAAAGTTAACTAAAGCTTCAATATTTTTAATTATACAATATCAAAGTTTCAAAGTTTTTACTATAGTTTATCTATTTATTTAAGCATTTTAATATTTGTTTTTTTGGGGGGTGGAGGTGAGGTTGGGTGGGGCTTAGGGTTGTTGTACATCTTAATTCAAATTTACAAATTAATTTAAATGCAATATCTACATTTATGTTTACTGAAGTTGATGGAGCACGTAGTTTGGTTCTAAATGACGCAAATTTCAAGAAATCTAATAATAAAATATATAATTCCACGGGTTTTACTATAGGGAATCAAAGTTTAAAGTTTTTACTAATCAAAGTTTCAAAGTTTTTACGATAGTAAATTAAAGTTTCAAAGTTTTCCCTAAAGTAAATCAAAGTTCGAAAGTTTTCGCTATAGTTTATCAAAGTTCCAAAGTTTTTACTATAGTAAATCAAAGTTCCAGATCAAAGTTTTTTACTTTGATACTATTGTTAACTACAGTTAACTATAGTTAACTATAGTATATTTTGCTTTATTTAGAATCACTCTGATTCTACACACAAGTACTCTGAAGATGATATTGGGACGATGCTGGAGTTTCCCATTGCCAACATTTATGCAGTCTTCGGAGACCAGGTTTTCGAACTAACAGTTGAAATTCCTATATCCACTAATTGCGCTCCTACATGTATTTGCCGACGTGTGTTATATTCCAAGAAGCAAAATGTATTAGAAAACCTCAATTTGAGTAGACAAAACACATTTTAAGCCTTCATCTCCACATATAGGTATGTCGACGACATATTATCAAATAATAGTTAATCAATAGTTACTTTCATTCAAAGTCGACTCGATATATCCCAGTGATCTTGATATAAAAGACACCACAGTGTTTACCACAACGGTTTTATTTTTTTATTAGGATGTTTTACTGACTCTGGACGACAAAGGCCAACTAACAACTAAATTGTATGACAAACGAGATGACCTCAGTTTTTTCCATCGCCAACTTTCCTTATTTAAGTAGAAATATTCCGTTATCACTTGCATATGGTGTTTATGTCTCCCAACTTATTCACAATTCAAGAGCATGCTCCGAGTGCGATCAATTTTAGAAACGAGGCTAAATACTTAGAGAAATGTTTATGTTACAGGGATTTAAGCAACTTCGTTAAAAAGTCAGCATTCTGTAAATTCTAAGGTAGTTAAAATAAACTTGTTAGCAAAAATATATTATCACTGAGTCGTATTTTGGCTAACGTGTTTCATACGAATTATTAGACTTTTGTCTTTTTTTTTAAATACCAAATTTGACATACTTATAGTTTTCCGTCTACATGATCAATACGTACGGCTCCCGGCACCTCTGACCGGTCATCCGGGGATGCTTACTCCTCCTAGGCACGATCCTGCTTCTGTCATTTCAGGGGGTCCGTGTTTTGTGCCCTCTTCAAAGATTTGTATATTTCATAGATTTCTTTAAGATCTATCACTCTTCGTTATCTTCTCTTTTCCCAATATTATTCCCCTAATTACAAGGATTAGTGGTTTTAATCCTTTCATACAAAATTGTCCATATGCAAGAAACTGCACTTTAGAGTTAAACATTTATTTTCTGTCCTTCAGGTATTCTTATAGAGTGTAAGAAATTTCGTGAAAATGGTTAAACAAAATCAGGTGTGCACGAAATTTATCCCTATAAGTCAGTTGGCATTTTTTTCTGTTTCAGATTTCCCTATGGATTGTAAAGAAATTCGTGAAAATGGTCACACTTATTCAGGGGTGTATGAAATTTCTCCCTTTGGGACCAGTCCTCTTATAGTTTACTGCGACATGGAGACTATGGAAGGAGGATGGACGGTATGTAATATATTTCAACATTAGGGTACATTGTATAATTTGCACTCAGTGTCTTTGGTGTTCATATGACTGAATAAAAAATGTCTTTCTTGCATACTGATCATACACATAGTATAAACAATGCTGATTGATTAAGTATGCATGCTCATCTTTAAAGGCAATTCAGAAACGTGTCAATGGATCTTTGAGTTTTGACAGGAATTGGTCGGAATATAAGAATGGTTTTGGTTCACCGGAACAGGATATCTGGGTTGGTAAGTATAAAAACTCTTTCAAATAGGACCTTTCATCCGATTTGGAATTTTAATAAATCGTTTTGTTGTAGCACTTCAAAATATATAAACATATAGAAGATATTATATTATTTAATGAATTTTTTAAATCGATCAATACCCATTATTTTTCCACCTTTTATGCCCCCGTAATCGAACATTCGGGGGCATAAAGTTTTTTTTCTGTTCGTCCATCCGTCTGTTTCTGTTTGTCTGTTTGTGTTATTTTCGCAAAAATATTAACCTTGCCCGTAACTTTTGTTTGGTTTAGAGCTATGGCTTTCATATTTCACCTGGTGTATTCCTTATGAAAAAGACATTTTCCTGGGACAAATATTTTTGACCACTTGACCTTGGAGCTTGACCCACTTTTGGGAAATTTTTATCAAATTTTAACTTTGGCTATAACTTTTGAACGGTTAATGCAAGGGATTACATACTCCTCATCTGCATTTCTTGGGAAAAGACAAGGCTAAAATTTTTTTGATACTTTGACCTTGACCTTATGATTTTGAGCTACTTTTGAAAAACTTGACCATACCTTTTAATGGTTAGTGCCAGGGCTTTAATATTTCACAGATTTATTTATTTTGACAAGAGCTTTCCTTGAGTACAAACAATTTTACCCCTTGACTTTGACCTCAGAGTTGACTTACTTTTGAAAAACTTTAACCATGACCATAACCTTTGTATGGTTGATTTTATGGCTTTTTAATATTCAACAGTGTATTTCGTGTGAAAAAACTTCCTTTGGGCGCAACTAATTTTGACCTTTTGACCTTGACGTAAAACCTTCTTTTGACAATCTTTATCTTTGGCCATAATAATTTTATCCACTACATGTATTTCTGTTTAATTTGTGTGAAATAAGAATAAAATTTGTATTTAAGTGTTAAATAAGTATATTTTGTACACTAAAATTACACCTGAATCTTAAAAAAAAAAATTATTCATGCTTAAACATTTCGAAAACTTTTTAAAATAAAAAGTGCACCAAATAATGGCACTTTTGAGGTATGAGAAGTAACTCATGATTAATGAGAATATATCAACATACACTGTATCATGTTTACAAAGAAATAGATATTAATTTGCTTTGATAGTTAGACAATATCAAATTTTCTCTATATGTGTATTTTATTTTAAGTTTGATATCTACTTTAAGCAAAACAAACGGTTTCTATAAATCTTAGGCCTGTATATATGATTCGTTGAACCCAGTTCAAGCCAAAGTGAAAGTAGAGATATCTAAAGGTTAGAACTTTTACCCTTTGTAATCTAATGGACTAATGGGAAATAAATATTTTAAAACACCTGTACCAATCTTTTTAACGACAAAATCAGACACATTCTTTCTCTGCAGCTTCGTCAAGCAACATCTTTAGGTACCTACAGTCCTAGTTGATGAACATCGAAACGAAGGAAGATAACTGAAATTTTATTTCTTCCAACAAAATTTAATTTTCATTTTTTATTTTATTTTTTTGGTTTTAAATATATGATATAAGCAACATCACACCACTGTTTTGATCTCCTCCCTGGTATCAGCCATTGGATGGTCTCGGCCCGCGCCCTCCGGGCTTTGGCCGATACCAACCACTCGGGCTGATAACAGGGCCAAGATCAAAACAGCATGTGATATTCTATATTACACAGGTGTATTCATTGTGACGAGATCTTTCTTTGGTAATATTTTTTTAATTTCTTGACTTTTAGTTTGGAGTATGACTAGAAACGTTAACCTTCGGCATAAGCTGCCACATGGTGGCGTCATTATTTCAGGAACACATTTTGTTCATTTAAAACTAGAAAATGTGTGCTCGACGATATCCACTTATTGTTTTTAATTGAGCTGTAAAGTAAATTGATTAAAAAATGATAGCAAGAGGAAGAAAGAATCACTCAGTGACATGATCTTTTAAAGTTAAAACGTATAGCATAAATGTCTATTACAAGTAAAACATTTCATAAAAAATTTCATCAAGGTATATTTGAATTAATTATAAAACTGATTGTATTTCAATACACTCAATCTTTATACAGGAAATGACGTAATACATCAGTTAACAAAAGAAAACAACTCGTTTCTATATGTCTCCATCACTCTCCAGAATGGAACAAGGCTGTATGAAATGTACGATCGATTCTTGGTTTCCGATGAAATAGAGAAATATCAACTCTTTCTTGCAGGACCTGCTACGGGATCCTTAGGTGCGTGATAGGTAGAAAAAAAATTTCTTTAATCATACTTTAAAAGTCTAAAACGTCTTGGACTTATATTAGAAAAGATGCTATGTAAATTGCGCAGTGTATTGTTGCATTGTATTTTATTTATATTATCCCTCTTTACAGGGGGGAGTATGAGAAGCCCTGGTCTCTATGGGCAGCACTTCAGAATCATTGACAATAAGATTAATGTGATATGAATCAGTCATCTCTGTGATATATTTTCTCTACAGGTGACAGCATGTTAAACATTCCTTCCCGCTATAGACTGTCGGGGATGTACTTCAGCACCAGGGACAGTGATAACGACAGGTATATGACTGGAGGTAACTGTGCTGCACAAAGTTACTATAGGGGAGGTTGGTGGTTTAACTGGTGCCACCAGGCCTTCCTTAACGGTCAGTGGTCCCCGACAGTCTGGTCTTGGCCTTGGTATCCTACAGTAGAGAGTGGGACATCGGTGATGGAGACCATGATGCTAATCAAACGTCACTAGGTAAACATCATTAAATATTAATAACCAGAATTTACTTTTTGGTATTTCATTGAACGTTTTAAACAGTTATAAGAAAAAAAATGTAAGACGTATAAAAGGTTTGCTTTTATTTTTTGAAACATTATTTAATTCTTTCAGACTTTTTCTTTATTTTCAACAGATGGATATTTAATGAAGTAGAAATCCCAGATTGACGAAAACCCATCAAATGAAACATTTCTGATAAAAGAGAGAATTCCAAATTCATCTTGATCATAGGGTTCTATTTATCCTTTTTTGTTTAAAAACAAACCCTGACATCTACGCATGTGAGTTAAGGCTAGGTATAGGCGTTTCTATGCAAATGAGCTAATAAAAACGCATAAGAGGTATATTTATTATTCAGAGAAAAAGTTGATTATTTCTTTATGCATACTTAGTACACACGATATGTTATAGCCAGTACACATTATGACGTCATACTATGATGTAACTGATCTTACCTGCTGGAGGTAATAAAACTCATCAACAAAACAGCTTCGTGGCAAGGGATTACTCTATTACTTATTTTTACATAAAAAATGTAAAATGCTAAGGAGAAAAATCCATAGATTAATAAAACTACTGCACAAATCCTAGGCATTTTCTCATTTGATCGGAATTTGAGGAAACTTATACCGGTCTGTACATTTTTACCCTTATTCAACTTAAAACTTTACAAATAAAAATTATACAACAGATCTGTTGATATTTTTGCAGCAATACCAGCAATCTTTGGAAGATTTTGCTTCTAAATATACCTTGTTTCAGTTAAAGAAAATGGAGCATGCCTTTGCGCCGAAACATATTTGTTGATATCCAGTTTAATCTTGCGTAGTAAAGAACAATAGTGTCATAATATGACGTCATAATGTGTATTGGCTATCTCATGTCGAGGGTACCATGTATGTATTAGATAAAAAGTTTTAACTTTCTCTGTATAATAAATATAATCCTTAGGCATTTTATTTAGATTATCTGCATAGAAAATGCCTATAATTAGCCTTAACTCACCTGCATAGTGAGAAAACGTGTAAACGATTATGTTTTGAGGTGGTGTTTTGGTTGAACTATTTCCTAAATCAATATTTTTTTTGTTTGTTTTCAGTTACTGAATGTGCCTAGTAAAAGTTGCACATTGTGTGTTGTAATAAATTGGAAAATAAATTGGAGTGAAGATTGCTCTTATTACATTAAAAAATGTTCTATCCGACAATTCGACTATTGAATATCTGAAACATTATCCTCCTTTTATGTTCATGTTTTTCTTTATCCTACAACTATAGTCCTGCTAGACACCCTATTACTGGTGACATAAATATAGCTAATAATGAGGACCTTGAATAATTAATTTTAAAAGAACCCAAATTTAGGGAACCCCAATTTTTTAACTGGCGTCATAATTAGATAAATATTATGGATTCTGTGGACGTTTACGCCAGGCGTAGGGCCAGACATGAAAAAGAAGACCTTGACACGTCGTCAGAATGGATTAAATGTATCGGATGTTTGTAAAAATCTCGCATTAAGTGATTGAAGGCAAAATGAAAACCAACTATCCTTCTGTGTTCAATAATACAGAAGTGAAAAAAAAATTAAATAGATTACATGATCAGTATGTGAGGACAAAGCAGGTAACAACATTGTTTTTTGTTTGTAAGACTCATTATTTAAATTGTTTTTAGAGGAACTTGAATTTAACTCAACAAGTGGTAATCCAACTTATACCCATAGCTCCCTTTCTAAGGAAGAAATTCTTCAAAATCATATATCAGTTTTAAATATTTTTAATATTCCCAACAACCGATATAAAATTGAATTACAAAATCTATATTGGATTCCGAAACTTCATAAAAATCCTTACAAAGAAAGATACATAGCGAGTTCCAGTAAATGTTCTACCAAGCCTCCTTGTTAACTTCTCACTAAAATATTAACAGTAGTAAAAAGATAAACTTCAGGAATACTGTGCAACAATATATTCAAGAAGTGGTGTAAATCAGGTTGGATTCTTAAAATTCCAAAGAACTTTTGGAAAATTTGAAATCAAAAAACTTTACCAAAATCAACAACATAAAAACGTGCGACTTTTCAATTTTATATACACTCAATCCCCAAGATAAATTAAAGTTCAGGCTTTCTGATATCATTGACAGTTGCTTTTTCAATAAAAAATGGAACTCTTAAATATACTTACCTTATCATTGGTCATTTGCAAAATCCCTTTGTTATAAAACATTCTGATTGTTCACACAAGTACTCTGAAGTTGATTTAAAAAGATTCTTGAGTTTCTGATTGACAATATCTATGTGGTTTTTGGAATTGCGCCCCGTTATTAGCAAACCTATTGTTATATTCATATGAAGCAGAATTATTTAAAAATCTTATACCTGAATAGAAGAAAAAAAACTTGCTGTGGTCTTTAATACGACATTTAGATATATCGAAAAAGTAGTGTCAATTAACAATGGCTATTTCTATTCTTATGTGGATACGATATATCCCGGAGAGCTTGAAATATAAGATACCACAAAGTCTGACACATATTTAGATATTTTACTAGAAAAAGACGTTTATTGTAATCTAACAACCAAGCTTTTATGATAAACGTGATAACTTTAACTTTTCAATTGTCAACTTCCCTTACTTATGCAGCAGTATACCTTCACCTGCGTACGGGGTTTATATTTTTCAGTTGATTTGATATGCAAGAGCATGTTCTACGTACGAACGATTTCTAAAACGATGTACATTATTGACAAACAAGTTGATGGAACAAGAAAATCAGCAATCTCGTTTTAAAGTCGTCATTTCGTAGGTTCTATGGCCGATACAATGACCTTGTCAGTAAATACAATTTATCATTAAGTCAAATGCTGACTGGCGTTTTTCATACTTATTGGTAGACCGTTATTTACACACTGAATTGTCGACTGATTTTCCCGTAATTTACCAACATGACAAGGAGCACCCGGTGTGATCTTTTAGCTGGGGAGACTTACTCCTCCATGGCACCTGATCCCACCTCTGATGTTTTAGAGGTCCGTGTTTGATCTGCTCTTAGAGTTGTATTGTTTAATGGACATTTGAGCTTGAATACTGTTCGTTATCTCCATGCATTTCATGAAATGTATACGCCAATAAAGAGACTAATACTATAAAATTTTATACAAACAGGCTCTAATCAACGATCTCTTCTTAATCACTTATTTCTATTTTACTTTGAATCATTGGAATAAGGTGTTTTTGACTTTAAGTGTGCTTCTTCTTGGTTCCACTTTTTTTTGGAATACTTTTAGTTTTGAAATATATAGGTTTCAATAACGAACAGTTATGAATTTTAAAGATGCAATATTTAAAACGAATCGTTAACAGGGTAAAACACGAAATCAAGGTGAGATCAGGTTTCCTAGAGTAGTAAACATCCCTTTTCGACAGGTCACATCCGCCGTGATCAACATGTATGGATCACGTTGAAGAAGTCAAATAAAAAAAAAACCCAATGATCTACTAAATTGTATTCAACATGTCAGAGGAAATATGGCTTAATAAAATGTTATATAAAAAGTAATTAAAGTGGCTGCAACGTTAATATTGACAAAGTGATCGCGAAGAATTGTTCGTGAAGCATGTCTGTCCGTTTGCGTAACGTGAGAGGTCATTCTCGCGGCGTTAGTAATTGTGAGTGAATCGGTTTTAATCGTATGCGATCCTGCAGGAAAGTCAGTGTCGGGATTAATCATTCCTATCATGTGATCGTTCTTGTATTTTGTCCACAATGATTTTGCAGTCACTGCGTAATGAACGTAAAATTTGTCAAAGTCTTATTTGAAACGGGGATATTGAGTTTTTGAAACATCAGTTTATTTGTCAGTAGCTTGTCCTTGTTTACACATTGCTCGTATTTAAGGTAAGGTTTGCGATTATAGGGAGACAACTCTCATGAATCATGAATAAGTGTTTGAAACCGACGAAATTTAAACCAGCGATACTAAGCATTCAATCGCTAATGAATTTCGACTGTCAAACACCATGACATGAACATGATGGGAACAAAGGACATTTCCAGTAGAGAATCGTATAACAATTTAAAGTGCAGGAATCTCAGAAGAATTTAGCAGACAAATGTAAGACGTTTAGCGTGATGCACGATTGATGACGCAATAAAAAAGGACTAGTAAGTTTATTTTCAGTACGGAACTGCGCAAGTTGCACGGTTATTCAAGTCAGTAGGAGCAAAGAATCAGAAGTATTGTAAATCATGCACTTCACCGCTTCACTTAAACATGTTAAATGACATCACGAATGAAAGAAAGAATAGATGTGGGCGCATCCTGTTACACTCTGCATGGTGTATGCAGTACAGCTGCAGTATGCACTCCGAACAGGGAAGACAAGTCACGGAGCATTTGACAGTTTTATATAGTTGCATTAGACAGGTAGTTATTTAATTGTTAATTTTTTTTAGTATTCGTACTTCATAATCGCGTATTACAACTCCGAATTACGGAAAGTTGTCAATGACCTAAACGGACATAAACAGTAAGGAATGAACAGATCAGGGTGCATGTTAATCCGAGATTCCTCTGACTGTAAACCCTGCTTTTATCTGTTTATATTGTGACATGTGCAGCCAATCTCGGATTAGGTGCATGTGACTAAAATCCCGCACTGCAGAAAAAGTTGTCATGCAACTTTTTTTTAAATCTCTCTCTCAATTTTTTAATAGAACCGGGAATGCATTTTCATCATTTTTTTTTTTATGAAATTGTTTGAATTATTGATTCACACATTATTTTCCACTGAGAATTAGTTCTCATAGAAAAAAAAAGTGTGGAGCCCAAATCCATTAAAAAAAATATCAGTCTTGAATGCAGTAAACAAATGCTCTAAATCTTTTATTCAAAACACAGGTTGGAATTTATATGACATAATACAGGTGAGCTTTTCTAAACTACAGCTTGTATTTATTTTTTCCTCACCAAGTGACACATTAGTATAATTTGGATCAGGCCCGTACGAAGCAATTTCAGCTTGCGGGTGTGGGGAGGGGGGGGGGCACAACGAAACCCAAACATTTTCAGTTGGGGGGGAACTACCAATAGTATTAAAATTCCTTGACAAGCCAAAAAAAAATGTCATCGGACGTTATTATTGAGAGGGCACAAGCATATAGTAGCTATGTTTTCTAGAGTATTCTATATACAATGTATCGGCAAATTACTGGGGGCGGGTCTACACACCCCATCCCCCACCGGCAAAATTATTGGGGGCAGGGGTAAACCCCCCAGCCCCCACCGGTTCCTACGGCCATGTGGATTGTTTTAATTTAGATTGAATGGTTTTAATGAGGGCATGGGAATACTTTCTCTGATTAAAGTTCAATTTTTATTAGTATTTAATTTTTTTAAATAAAAAGATCCAAATTATGCCTGACTATTTATGAATAATCTTTGGGTGTGTTTAGAAAATTCACTCATCAAGCTTATATAATTGCATTCATCTAATTCAATCTGTAGAAATGTATACATTTATTTTTTATAATAGTTGTACCATTATTAGTTATAAAGTGAGTAGGTTGGAAATTCATTCATTTCATCCTTTTTTTATTCCTTTTATTAATTGAAAATGAACACACAATTTCAGATTATGGATCATTAATTGGAAAAGAATCAGAAAAAGTACTTCAGTTCTTGCTTAGAAGATCTGAACCATCTGTTATAGTAAAGACCGTTATATTCCAGCCCATTTCAAGAAAGTTGGTTGGATCGAGCAAAGGTATGGAACCAGATGTGCCAATACCAGTGACCCAGGATTTGGAGGAGACTGGTTACCCAATAAATGTTATCCATGGAAACAATGATTCCACAACAACATTGTATCTGTAAGCTGTTTTCCTTATATTAAAAAAAAAATAAGCGTCTTGAGATGATTAGAGTACATTGCTTCTCCATCTTTGAACTTGTATTCACTAAAATAAATGTATGCATCAGATGTATTAATTGAACGTGGCATATGTCTGCTTAACAAGTTTCTATGTAGCATTCAAAAAGTGTTTGTAAAATTTCATGTAAATTGTAGCAAAATATATCCATAGATAATGGACAGAATAAATATCTGTGTCATTATGGCATTGTTATCTTTTTTTCCTGTTCTTGTCCAATATTCAAGACGGTGTAATAACTTTGCAGAATTTTACAATTTGACTGATATTGGACGTATTTGCACTGTAAACTCATTAAAATATGAATTTGTAACTCAAAATCCAGTGTTATTGTTTTCTTACATACAGCTGCATTTATTCAGAATCTGGGACTGATCAAAGTCGCCCTCATGGTGCAGTGGTTAGAGCGGTTGCTCTAGAATCACGGTTGAAGGAGTTGATCCTTGCATTGCGGGTTGAAATCCCACTGTGGGACTTCGAAACCGGTATAGACCATATAATCCGAAGTCCCCTATCGCAGTATTTGCTGACACAGAAAACATCCCTCGCTGATCAAAGGCCATAAGTGTCGAGTACAGTCTAAATTTGCAGCCCTCCACTAGCAAGTGGTGGCGTCTCACTATGAGTGAAAAAGTATTAAACAAACAAACGAACAAACTAATAAAATGATTGACATGTAGATATATAGTACTGCCGTTAAGATAGCAGCTACCTGGATACAATGAGTGCAACATTTCACTCAAATGATAGCATGTAAAGCCTCACCAGTTATAGATGAGTAAAGACATTAGGTAAGGGTGCCTAGAAATTAATACATGTAGTTGAAATCTTTTGAATGATTATATCAACATGAGGTCAGAAAGCTTTTATTGGTTTACTTAAACTTGTTTTCCAACAGCAGCATATTAAGAATTAAACCATGATGAACAAATACATGTACATGTATACACCTCAAGCATGTTAAAAATACATGTATTTCTAAAAGGTGTTGAAACATAATTCCATTGACTATTTCATCAATAACATTGTAAAGACCGTGCTTTAAGTAGGACATGTATACCAAGAGTCTTTCCATGAACTGATTATTTAGTAACATAGAGGGAGAGTTGTTGTGGTCAACTTTTTGCCAAAAAACAATTTCATATAAAATTTAGTTTGACGAGTACACTTTCTCAAAATCGTATCAATGTTCACTTTAAAATGCAGAAAAATTTTCTGATTTTTATGTACAAATCCCCTTATAAAGCCTTTGTTTCCATGGAAACAGTACTCGGGACATACATATTTTTTTTAGTTCATTGAAATGAAAATAACCCAGTTAACAATTTCTTGGATTTTCGTGGAATCGGTAGATATAGATAGTGGTGATTTTAATTGTTTGTTGCCATGGCAACGGTTTCACTTTTTTATGGAAAATTGAAAAAAAAACCCTCTTTTTTACCCATTTTTTTTTTTTTTACATTTTAAATAACAGAAATAAAAAATTAAGATTAATTAAGCATAAAATATAATTCATGCCATTTTAAGTTACTTTATTATGATAATGTATAAAATAGATCAATTTTTTCAATGAATATAATTAAACATGTAAAACGTCAAATACATCAAATTTGGCGTCTTTTACACAAAAAACGAGACGGGCAATGTCTTTTAAAATCATGTTAAATGATGAAGCTATTCTTCCCAAACAAAATGCTGTATGACATATGTACATTTAAAAATAAAAAAAATTGGAGGGAGTCGCAATCCTTACCTTAAAGCATGCTCTTCCGTATCTGTAACATCTGGATAAACTGACATTAAGACCATATGCAGGTGAATTATTACATAAATGATAGTTGCCGATGAAATTTTCAGCAAATGTTTATAATTTTTTATTGCATCTTAATTATATATATATATATATATATATATATATATATATATATATATATATATATATATATATATATATATATATATATATATATATATATATATATATATATATATATATATATATACATATATATTTCGTCAACATTTTATAAAGAACAAATAAAACAACTATGCAAAATTTCTAAATTATAGGATAATTAAAATAAGTCCCGGTAAAATTATAAATAAGCAGATATCTATTGACCTGGAGCAGCATCGCTACGTCATTTTTACGTCACGTCAGCCGATATTTTCTCATTGTGAAATGATCGGGAAGCGTTCAATCTACTTCTCTGTCATAACATATAACATTCCTAAATTTAAACTGTCTCTTATGATTCTTAAACGATTCTATAACGATTCTATAAAAAAATTAAAATAAAATTTATGCCGTTGCTACCTCATGCAGTGTAAAATATACACGAAGTGTCATATACAGGTTGACTTAGTATCATGCATTACCGAGTTATGCAACGCGGGTCAACGGTATTTAGTCCGTAATAATTGATGGTCGTCCGTTACTCTGGTTGAGTTATTGGTAAGAAAAAATATACCAATGAAAAAATAAACCCTTAGACATGTTTTATTGCATTGTTATTGTTTTAGCAGATCGTTTAGTCTCGACAAGAGTTCTCAATACCGCTGCACAAATTTGTATGCTTGCTGCTCCCCTTTGACGTCAAAATCCGTTGTGTCGTCGTTACTAGATTGCTATACCGCGCTTAAAATTATTTTGATGATCTCCGTATAGTTGACCGAAAATCTAACAAACTAGCACAAAATGAAGCCAAAATTAAATTGAAAAATTATATATATATTTTGTTTTTTTTCGCTCTTACTATGGGTCCACTGGGATTTGTTACGTTGGTGTTAAATAATTTCAGTATCTGATTTAGTGACTGCGCCGGGGATTCCTTACCACTGACACAGTAATATACCATTGGAAAGAAGAAATAAAAATTTTTTTGAAATATTTCTTGCTATTATTAATTTTTAGTGTTTGTCAAACGTATATGTAAATTTTCGAACAGCCCTCGTATATATATATATATATATATATATATATATATATATATATATATATATATATATAGAGAGAGAGAGAGAGAGAGAGAGAGAGAGAGAGAATAAAGATTTTATTGTACTTGCATGTGCTCAGGGTAAGGTCCTACGGCGCACGATAAAAAAAACAGGGATTCATTAGCGAATACATAAGAATAATTTGAAAAAAAATGTATTAAATAAATAAGGTTGGGGAAAAATAAACCCTATCTTTAATTCACTATCTATTATTTCGTCTTTTTTTAAAATTTTAAGGCATTTGCTTAATTTTTGGCAGTTTGCCGAGTATTTGAAATGGGAAAGTGGTAAACGCAACACACGAAAAAAGGCGACGTCTGATGACGTTACGGCGCACCAGAGAGCAGTTCAGTTTGATTTAGATGTACTAATGACGCCCCAGAAACTTAAAAAGAATACAGAATAAAACAAAATAAAAATATCACTATATCTTTAGTATACAAGTGAAATGGTAGTTTTCTATTTTCGGAAGCTTTTTGATCGGGTCCCCGGGTAGAACAAAACATACGGACAAATAGTTTCTGTCAATAGGGAAAATCGGTGAGAGTACTGTCAATAACTTAACTATAATAAATCTTCAGAAGGTCCAAAGTGTGTGCGGGATTGGTTCCTCGACTGTTTATGGAGAAATAGAGGGATACTCAGGTATGTGCATCAGTGAAATCCCCGAATTTAATAAGGGCTTATCCAACATTTTTTAGCAAATAGGAAACGTGACGCTGCTTTAGACACTTTGCCGTTATAATCTTACTCCGTACACATAACATAAAGTCTCATATTTTGTTTATTTGAGCATATATCTATTTGAAATTTGCTATGTATATTGATGAAAAATGTACTAAAAATTAGTGAAAATTTTAGAACGCTATGATGATTGCTTTTTACTTTACACAACTTGTCCACGATTTTACCGGACAACCCTCGTATTTTTAATTGAAAGATTAAATGTAATTTGTGCTGATAAATTTTTCAGGAAAATGTGCATATTCGCCACTGAAAGTATGAAGACAACAAATTAATCCAAAGGTCGATTTGTATTTAGTGATGAACTTACATTTAAGGGGAAAGTGTTGATTAATGAATATGTTATTTTTCCAATACATCAGGTGAAAGTGGTGCATTAAAAATGCTCCGATTTTATTAAGCTAAGAAATATATCTGTACATTTCATTGTTTTTTTTTCTGAATACAGCATTTTGTGTAATCATTATACATAATGATTGAAAAGCTAGTTTCCACAAACAAAATGCTCTGCTTGAATCAGTAGAATCTGCAGATTTGCTTCTTTAATCCTCGGCAGAAATGGAAACAAAGCATCCGAAGTACAATATGTATATATAACAGCATTTAATAGAGTTTTAACATGTAAAGAGATAATATCAATTTATGAAATTGGTAGTTTTAATTTTTTTGGTCGAAAAGAAAAGAGAACATACAGCAACTTTTATAAACTGCAGAATTTTATACGAAGTATTTTTTCCTGCAGTAAGCCTAAAATTGACTGTCTGTAGAATTGGAAGTGTCCCGTCAGCGGTGGTAAAAAATTTGTATAGAAATTACATTTTGGAAGAAAAATTACTGGAACATCATTTCGTACTTTTTTGTCGTTTTGAATGGTTAACTTCGTATTGTATTGTATACATTTTAAATATACAGTCTTTATCAGATAATATTTAAAATATTCAGTTTTTTGTAATAATTTAAGCAGCATTTATTAAATACAGTATCGGCTTTTTTAATCATAAAATGAAAGTGTAATAATGTCCTTTATTTATAAGGATAGCACAATTAGTTGTCAAAAGTAGTTACATTGTGGTCATTTATACAGACAGCAAAATTATATACAGAAATAAATAAATATTAAAGAATTCGAAAAAAAGCGTGTAGCCTTATAAAATAAGGTTTACACATGATGTAATGTAAACTTTCCATAAAACTGAAAAATGA